AAAGGAATCCCCTCTGCGTCGCTTAGCCAGGCCGAAGCCAGGGCCATCTTCAGCTGCAGCCAATCGAGTGGCTCAGAAGGAGTCCAGCATGAGGCAGCCACATTTGGGGGCATGCGGCATGCTGCATGCGGCTATATGCATGCAGATTAGTATATAGCACCGACGGCTTTGACAGGTATATACAAACGTATTCTATTTTCAATTTTATTATATTTTTCACTTGAGATAGACAATATATATACCATATATACATATGCATGTATGTGTGTGTGTGTGCATATATTGATATATTTATGTGTGCAACAAATTCTGTTTGCATTTTCCCTTGAGTTGTCACGCACAAAGGCAAAAAGAAAATTGTTTAATTTGATTTCATTTTGGGCGCTCTTGCGTCATGGCCCGAGCCCTGGCTAAATGGCGTTTGCCATATGAGCATATCGCCCAGAGACACGCCCCTAATAGCTTCTGGGTGTGTGTGTGTGTGTGTGTGTGCACAATGCAAATCTCTGACTCAATACATGTGTGTATAAATGGTCTGGCAGCGCCCTGCTGCTGCCAATTTTCCACACATTTAATTGCGTTTCTATTTTTCAAATATTTATTATTATCGAATATTGAAAACGATACACAAATGCGAATGCATCAGCCCCACTCTGAGCCACGCCAATTGGCATATGGTGTGCCTGCACGTCATGTGCGGCCCGAGCATATATATAGAGTTGTTCGCCAGATCTCCCAATGATAGCGTGGCACGCGATATGCCGTGCCCTCAAACCTCCTGCACCTCGACTCGCACTTCGGCTCGCTTTCATGTGAATGGCTTTTGTCACGGTCTCCAAATTGATCTAATCCTTTCGGGTGTGCTGGGATTACGAGCCAACTTATAGATGATTGGGCGCAAACATCTGAAAGGCCCTCTAAAATGGAAATCTGGGAAATCTACATTTTTCGATTTCGTTTTTTCGAATACAACTTTAGTAACTCTTGAAAACAAGTTTTTTTAATTATATAATTTCCAGCACACATTAACTATTTGGACTCCCATCGAACCAAAGTCTATTAAGCAAATAAATCTAAATCTAAGAGGAACTTGACTTTATAGTCGAGTACCGATAATTCTAAATGGCAAGATCAGTTTTTTTTCTAAAGAAATTCAAACTATCGAGAAAATTCAAGATTGATCTAAACTCCTTAAAATAAACGAATATAAATCTAAGAGATTATATATAAATCTAAAACGTAGCACGTTCTAGGTCTGATAACCGCCTCAAAATCATATGTAATTTTTTATTAGCACCATCTATGTGTCATTTCTTGACTGAAATTGAAATCTTTGTGAGTTTCGCTGTCCTATGATTTAAATTACATAACTTACATAAATTATTTTGTTTTATTAATTTTGTTTCTAATATTCTAAGATCTTATATATGTTTGTATATAATATATATGTACTTGAATTATTAAATATATTTGAAATTGATGTAATTTGCACCGTTTGCCAAACTAGACATACATACATATATAGAAACATTTGCTTGCCTGCCTGTTAAATAAATCTCAATATCTATCCGAATATGTATTAAGTATGATTTTCACAAAAGCTCCTAAGTTAAGTGAACCGAATTGGCAATAACTGGACGATCAATGTGTGTGGATGGGTAGTAAAAGCAATTGGAACTGTTAGAACTGAATGTTTCCCCCCGGCACAAAAAAAAAAAAAAGTGAATAACCGAAATACAAATTCAATTGGCACAAATCTGATTAATATCGTTAAAAATTCTATGAGAAATGGAAATAATGCAATTGGAACAAAAGAAATTGTAATGCAGTTAGGAGGATAATTCAGTTCTGCTGTTGTTGTTGTTGTTGCTGCTGCCAAATGCCTGCAACTGCTGTCAATGGGAAGACAACACACACACACACACGTATATACACACAAAGCACACACACACACGCACTCTAAATTGGGTGAGACGCATTTGCAACTGCATAACGAAACGTTTTAGCTTAGAGCCAACTGATTTCTGATTCTCAATTGACCTCCCGCAACACTGCGAACTGTATCCAACTGCAGGTACGTTCCTCAGCAGCCAGCAGGCGAGCATCAAGCAGGAGGCCATGGACGTGCCTGTCGAGGAGCAGCCGCACGAGGCGCATGCCGCCGATCGTCAGCCAGTGGCGTGCAAGTTGGCTAAGTTGATGCAGCGGCCGCAGCTGGCGCAGCTCTTCGAGCGTCGCAGCCACAATAACAACAACAACAACACCAATAATAATAACAACAATAACAATAACAATACCATTAGCCACAATAATAACAACGATCGCATGTTCAAGAAGAATCGCTCGACAAATTCATCGCCCACGCCGTCGGCGCGCTCCTGGAACGACAGCGAGGAGGAGCCGGATTACAATCAGGACGAACGCTCCAGCTCGGCCTCGTCGGCCATTTCGCTGACCATGAAACGCAGTTGTCAGGCCAGTGAGTCGACGCTCTACCAAACCCTGCAACAGCATCGTCAGCAGCAGCAGCAACAGCAGCAGCAGCAACAACAGCAACAACAACAACAGCAGCAGCAGCAGCACCTGCAGCAACAGAGCGAACATCGCCCACATCTCAAGCAGCAGCAGCAGCAGCAACATCAACATCAACAGCAGCAGCAGCAGCAGCAGCAATATCTGGACGAGCTGCAGCAATCCGTTTCCGTGTCACACCAGCAACAGCTGACCGCCAATCTGTTTATGGCGCGCACCATTGCCCTGAGTCGGTCGCGCGACTTTCCCGATATATTCCAGAACCCCTCGGCAGCAGCGGTGGCTGCAGCAGCAGCAGCAGCAGCGACTGCCACTGCCTCGGCCACAGCCTCTGCCCTGGCCAGCAGCACCAGCGGTGCGGCTGCTGCGGCGGCTGCGGCCGCTGCCGCTGCAGCCGGTGGCAGCAGCAACAACAGCAGCAGCAGCAACGCTGGCAGCAACTACATGCTGCCCTGCCCGCTGTGCGAGACGCCGCTGGAGCAGCGCGTCTTCCGCCAGCACCTGGACAGGCACTATCCGCGCGACAGTCCCGTCTGCCCGGTGATCGAGTGCGGCCGTCGCTTCGCCCATCCCAACTCGGTGCGCAACCACATGCGCATCAAGCACACGCTGCAGTGGGCCAAAATGAAGGCGATGCGCTCCTCCGGCGGCCCCTTCGCCGGCGGCCCCGACTTCAAATTCAAGAGCGAAGCGGCCAACTAGTTGGTGTCGCCCGACGGCACGCCCCCCCGGCACCCACTTTTCCAGAGCCAATATGCCCGCAGATACTCGCACTAGGGGCGGCCACAAATGCTTCTCTAGGTTGCTGCTAGCTGGTCAAAAGGCGACAATAATCCTAAGCCCCAGACTCGGGACACTCGCGTCTATCGTAGATAGCCAAAGACAACAGAATAAGTAAAGCAAGCGTAGTACTAGACTCGATCGAGCCGGCAGCGCCAAAAGCCACTTCACTGGGCCAAGATGAAAGCTGTTCCAATTTCTTTTTTATTGCCAAAAACGGTTTCATTTCAAGCATAATTCTTCGGGTCTAACTTGAGCATAGAAAACAAAATATAAATTCAGTTATGTTTAAAAAGGAAAATTATGTTTGCAATTTATTTTCTTTACATTTATTTAATTTGAAATTTCTTGGCAATGTGGCTGAAGCGACTTGAGGCTGGCATACAACAATTATTACGTTCCTATATTAAAAAAAAGAAGCATAGTATACTATACTAACACTAGTACATATTCGTACTTCCACTACTGCGTATGTGCAACTTTATATATGTATGTACAACATGCAAAGCTAGTTTTACACTGTAAAGAAAGAGCCCAGAGATGATAATATGAATAATAATGAATTCCATATTTAGTAAACAAACTTACACAGACACACACACACACACACACACATAGAGAGAGAGGCGTAGCAGAGCTGCAAGTTAAATGTAATTCTTAGTAAAGTGTAGTCGCTGCTGGATAACGTACTACTACTACTACTACTACACGCTAGATGGCGCTTTACATGGCACTAGGAACTCCACTAAACTCCAGTATTATACGTACATAGGAACGAAGCGCAAGAGAGCTGCATACACAATTCATAGTATACTATCTACCGTATAAGCGTATAAACAATATATATGATATATATTTAGTATATGAAACAAGGTATTTGTAGATAAATACGAGCTGAATACCAAGCAGAAACAATTATAAATAGTTATTATAATTAATTATAATGATACTACAAAATAGAATGTGCCTGCGTAATATATTTTTAGCCAAGATAAAAAAAAAAAAACAAAAGAATTAAGAAAAACCAAAAAATAAACATAAAATACACACACATACACACAAACACACTTAGACAAGTGAGAAGTTGCAAATTTTATTAGAGACAAATTTCCAAAGAGCTCAAAATTGTCATTTGATTTCTAGTTTCGTATATAAGTATGTCGCAAGAGCATCAAGAGAGAAAAGCATACGTAAAAAGGTTCCTATAATGTTAATCAAAAAGAAAAAGAAAAAGAAAAAGAAAAACTAACTAAAATTAAAACAAAACAAAAACTCAAACAAGAAGAAGAAGAAGAAGAAGAAGAAAACGTCTTATATTCCATTTCGACACGGACAATTTTACAGTTGTGTGACCCATAGCAAATACATATGCACATATGCATGTGTACATGTATGTGTAGTCCTACATCTATTATAATTTCTATACATAGGAATATATATATGTATATCTGACTATATATACATATTTTTTAGTTTGGCCAATTGTTTGGAGAACGCGTAGCTCGTAAAGGCAAGAAATGTATCCTCAATTTATGTACGCCTCGATGGGGCGATTATGTTTTTGTTTAATAATAAAGAGCAAACGAAGAAAAGTCGAGTGAATGAATCTCTATTCAATGAATCTTCTCTACGCAAATAGTTGCAGCTGTATTGATTTACTTACATCTATGTGTTTGTTCCATCAACAGTTTCGCGTCGCTCGCTGGAGATGCGCGTGCGTGCCACGGATCCGCGACCCTGCCCGAAGTGCGGCAAGATCTATCGCTCGGCCCACACGCTGCGCACCCACCTGGAGGACAAGCACACGGTGTGCCCCGGCTACCGGTGCGTGCTGTGCGGCACCGTGGCCAAGTCGCGCAACTCGCTGCATTCGCACATGTCGCGGCAGCATCGCGGCATTTCCACGAAGGATCTGCCCGTGCTGCCCATGCCGAGCGCCTTCGATCCAGATCTCGCCTCGCGGCTGCTGGCCAAGGCCGGCGTCAAGATATCGCCCGCGGAGCTGCGCGCCCGTGCCTCGCCCACCGGCGGCAGCGGCAGCAGCGGCGGCGCTGGCAACGGCGGCAACGGCTCCCAGAAGCTGGACCTGAGCAATGCCAGCGGTGGCCCCCTGGACGACGCCGATGACTCCGACGACGACCCCGAGGATCTGACCACCGGCAGCGTGCTCTACGGCAACAATGCCAACGACCTGAGCCGCTACCACGAGAGCTTGCTGAGCAACTTCGGGCATGCCAACACCACCATTTCGCGCATGCGGACCGAGGCTGCGGCGGCGGCAGCTGCAGCGGCTGCCATTGGCCAGCAGAAGGAACTCAACGCCGCTGCCGGCGGCAGCAGCAATGCGGGGCAATCGCTCCTGGACACCTATCTGCAGTTCATCACGGAGAATACTTTCGGTAGGTTTGCGGGAATTCGCGTTGATTTCCAGTTGATGACATTTATCTCCGTTGCAGGCATGGGCATGACGCAGGAGCATGCGGCTGCAGCGGCGTTGCATGCCGCCAAGATGGCGCAGCTGAATGCCATGGGTCACAGTCTGGACAAACTGCCGGCGGGTCTGCTGCCAGCCCAGTTCGACCTCAGCAAGCTGGCCGGCGCGGCTGGCGCAGCAGCGAGTGGCTTCGGCCAGGGCGCCGCTGGACTCTCCATTGAGCCAATCCTGAGACGCGACCAACAGCAGCAGCAGCAGCAGCACGGGAACAGCCTCTCCCCTGATGCGAACGGAGCGCTGGGACTCAGCTCGATGGCTCATATGCATGGCAATCTGGGCGCTGGCGCGGGTGGGGAGCCCGATGAAGTGGATGTGGATGCCGAGGCTGAGATACGACGGGATGGGTCAGAGCCCATGGACTTGGGCCTGGGCCTCGACAACAACAATCAGTCGGGCAGCAACAATGAGGCAAACAATTCCGATGCCGAGGATAACTTCTCTGAGGATGAGGGCGTGCATCACACATAAGCTAGAGGCAATACACACACACACAAAGAGAGACAGAGAGAGAGAGAAAGAGAGAGAGAGAGAGAGAGAGGGGAGAGAGAGAAACACGCATACACACCTAAAGAGAGCGGGTCGTTTATAAGAGAGAAAAAGATATTACGATATTAGGATATTACGGTATTCGCATATCGCATTTTGAAGAACAATAGATGTATTACGATATTCGAATATCGTAACGCGAAGAATCAACCTCGTCGTCGTCTTCGTCTTCGTCGTGAACAGTTGTATACCCAGAAAATGGAACATTTGTAACGAGTAGCCTTATCCTCATGTATACCAGTTTACGTGTACAATATAATATATATATGCATACGATAGTTACGATAGTTACCTAGGACCTAGAAACAGTTCATGAAATAATATCATGACATGTGCTGCGTTTATTATATATATAGTAGAATCTATGTTGTGCTTTTTAAAGACAGAATCAGAACAAGCTGCTATTCAATACCTATGTGGGTTGGAATAGAAGGGAGATAAGCATAAATATACTCACGTACATATACATACTAATCCATATATAACATATATATGCTTTATACAACTATATATATACACATGTACCTGTTGTGTGTATGTAAAAATGCAGTTTAGGAATGCAAGAACCAAGACAGTTTCAAATTCAACTCCAAAATACCTAAACGTAAACCTAAACTTGAATATATACAGATACATATATAATTTAGTGTTAGCAACTCAATTCTGTAAATAGCTAAGAAGCAAGCAAGCAAAGAAAGCATTTAAGCGGACTATACGCATACTCCAATTGAATACTCTACGAAAATCCGTCTCAGTTTTTGAAATGTATATGTGTGTGTTATTGTGAAAGAGAAACAATTCAGATGTGCCATGTCACAGCCTACCTATATACATATACATATATATATGCATATATATATACTATTTATAATGCTAACCATATCTCAGGAATACACGCAGAACAACCAAACTACCTCAGCTGAATGAAATTGTGTGAACCATCCAATTCGTAATATATCTTCCATATAGCTCTGCGTTCGTTATGGTCAGACTTGCTTATAACATACATATACATACATACATGCATATAACTTTCACAGCAGACTTGACAGCTGCCTAGTTTTAGGTTCTCCATTGGATGAGTGCAAGAAAAAAAATAAAAATAAAAATAAAAATAAAAGCATCAAGATCAGAAAATGAAAACTAGAAAAACTCAAGCCAATTTAATATTATAGATATAAAAACGATTTTCAGGCAATGTACATTTCAAATATTATTTATACGAAGGAGAGTTACAAATACATATACACATACATTTGTATGCATATATACGTTTATATATGTGTGCATAGTTTTAATTGCAAACCAATTTGTTTTGGGGTTAAATGTAACTGAATCAAATACCTCAACATACTCAGTTCACCCTTAATTTATACAAAGCACAAAAGAAAATGAAAAATGAAAAACACGAATTGCACTAAGATAAATTGAAAGGTTTCTTCATATTATTATATGTCCGATTTCCTCCTACATGTACATTTAGTTTGAATATACCCAAAATTTTACTAGTTTTATTGTTAGTTTGAAGAGGAAACTCTACAAGAGTTAAAAACTCCCCCACTTGCCTTATTATAATTATGAATATGTGTTAATTTTTAGTAATTTTTCTACCTCAATTAATTTAACTATGTTATTATTTAAGCGCGCAATCTTGAATATACATATACATATACACATATACATATATTTTTTTTGGTCGCTTTGTAATTGTGTTTCCTGAACTAAATTACACGAGTCATCAAATATTTAGCATAAATTTTATTGAATATGGAAAATGAGTAGAAAATAAATTATATTATATATAAATAAAGCAAGTTATAAGTATATACAAATATGTTATATTTGTTTACATCTCTCACTCACTGTCCACTTACCTTGGTTGTGCTTATATTTGTTTCATTTCAAGCATGCCCACTGCAATATGCATTTTAAAAGACAAACCTGAAATGCACTCACAAACACCACCAACACACTCACACACAGTATGCAATTAAGTCGCTAGAATTAAATGAGTTAGTTAAATAAAAGTTACATAAGCAATTTAAGTAGAGATCCGTGTGCTTAGAAAGTTATAAATATTTATTAAAATTACAATAAAAATGCGTTGAAAAGAACCAACCAACTGATTTTCATTCTCAACTTAAATTTGAATTTCACTTTACCATAACGGAACGATCAATTGTGCAGCCCTGAATGCGATCTGGGCGATAACATTTCAGTATTTATGAAAGCAACGATATCGATTTCGATAAAGACGCTTGCTGCGGTCGTGAGTGTCAAACGACAAAGAAGAAGCTCGAAGCGGCATTTGTTTCGAATTAACTGTAAAGAAATGTTATATGAAAATAGTTCGTGCGTCGAGTAGTGTCGTTCTTTATTTAAAAAATATCTTGGAAAAATTGTCTAATTGTGTTTTTGTTTAAATATGTCCGCTAAAAACGCCATACAGGTGTGCATCAAGGTACGTCCATGCGAGCAGGACAAGACCACATTGTGGCAAGTGAAGGACAATCGCGCCATTCAGATCATCGATGGCCAGTCCGAGCCCTGCGTCTTCGGTAAGTGAAAGACAAAAGCCCTCTCTTTCTTGAGATGCATCTACTGAATCCTTGTTTGCAGACTATGTCTTCGATCAGGATACGAACAATCAGATTGTATTCGATTGCATGGCCAAGCACATTATTGAAGCGTGCATGAAGGGCTTCAATGGCACAATCTTTGCCTACGGTCAAACCTCGTCGGGCAAGACGTACACAATGATGGGCGATGAGCAAAATCCAGGTGTAATGGTTCTGGCTGCAAAGGAGATCTTTAAACAGATTGCTCGCCACAACGACCGCGACTTTTTGCTGCGGGTCGGTTACATTGAGATTTACAACGAGAAGATCTATGATTTGCTCAATAAGAAGAATCAGGATCTCAAGATTCACGAGAGCAACGGCATGGTACACGTCAATTGTGAAGAGTGCATCATTACCAGCGAGGAAGACCTGCTACAGTTCCTGTGCATGGGCAACAAGGAGCGCACTGTGGGTGAAACCAATATGAATGAACGCTCCAGTCGTTCACATGCCATATTTCGCATCGTAAGCCCCAATTTTGTTATTATATTTTCATGTATAAGATATATATTTCTTCTGCTTCTGTAGATCATTGAGTCGCGTAAAACCGATCGGAATGATGACGATGCTGTTATTCAAAGTCTGCTGAACCTGGTGGATTTGGCGGGCTCTGAGCGTGCCGATCAGACGGGAGCGCGTGGCGCTCGCCTGAAGGAAGGCGGACACATCAATAAGAGTCTTCATTTCCTGAGCAATGTGATCAAGAGCCTGGCTGAGAACGAGGAGAACAAATATGTTAGCTTTCGGGACTCGAAGCTGACGCGTATATTGCAAGCATCGCTGGGTGGGAATGCATTTACGTCCATAATATGCAGCATCAAGCCCTCAATTTTGGAGGAATCTCAGTCGACATTGAATTTCGCAATGCGCGCAAAGAAAATCCGCTCTAAACCACAAATGAATGAAATTGTATCCGATGCGACCATGATGAAGCGCCTAGAGCGCGAAATTAAGGAGCTCAAGGATCGTTTGGCTGAGGAGCAGCGCAGAAATGAGAGCCAGATCAAGGTGCGGCTCTTGGAGCAAAGGATCAAGACGGATACGTTGAAAATAATAAGCAGCAATACGATCGCTGATAACCGCAATAAGAATCGTCGACGTACATGGTGTCCAGCCACATCGAATCCACACCCTGTGGCAGCCAACGGCGACGAGGCCGCGCCCAGTCCAACGGCTACGTTTGCTTTCAATGGACAGCGCAAATTTTCGGGTTTGCCGAAGCCCACTTTCAATCCATCAACTCCGTATTTGAGCCACCGACCCGGCCTAAATGCGCCCAAAACAATAAACATTATGAAGTCTCTGGAAGTAACCGAGGAGGAAGAATTTAAACCCTCTGCTGACTTCAACTTTGGAGATGTCCCGGACCCGATGACCAATAGTCGCATCCTTCCTCCTCTGAGCCTAACTCCCCGCATATCGCAAGGAGATGAACGCAGGTATATGAAACCTAGAATATCATAAATCACGTCATCATCAAACTCACTCAACTAATCATCTCATATATTTCATATTAATCATAATCGCTCGCATGTTCCCATCAAACATAAATGCCAAACATGTGTAGTAAGCAAATGATCGAGCGTGATCTTGTGGAATTATCAACGTTCGTGAAGCTAGAGCAGAACATTGGTAACGAGTGGGAGGACCTAAATAACAAATTTGCTGTGGCTACAGCTCAAGTTGATGAGCTGCAGTCTGAGAGAGTCAATCTAATCGAGCGGTGAGTTGCATCCTAACTAGCATGATTCCAGAGCGAACGGAGGTGAGATTTTCTTTAATGATTTGATGTCATTATGTAAGGAGGTCGGTCCTGTACGCTCTACTCGGAATTTAACCCTGTGGGGTTCTGGTATTCGTACCTACACAGAAAGCGATTCATTTCCTGCTTTCGCTTACTGAGCACTGATGTGTTTGTTCGTTCTACTACTTCCTTCTTTAATAATTTTGAAAACCCGGCAATTTTAGTATTTTTTCTTGCTCGAATTCGAGAATAGTTAATATCCACATATTTCTAGTAGGCTTTGAACTATGCGTCAAACGTCGGCTAACATACACAGAAATTAATATGATCTCAGTCACATTAACATCTACAGCATCGAACATACCAGTCTACTATAATAATTTCAAGTCTCTAGATATTATATTTGACTAAATTTATAACAGCAAATAAGCTGACGGATTAACAGTTGGAAACACTCATACATTTAGAACAATTCAGCGCATTCCGATGGATTCAATGGAGTATGTACTTGATTTTTCGTGTTTCATATGTTTTAAAAATGTTTTGTTTTATTTTTTAAAATATATTCTATTTGTATCCTCAATAAAACTTTTACGCTGGCTTTCAATTTGAATGCTCAATTCACCACTTCAGGTGCGCTCCATTACCTATGCCAGAAGTCAACTCGTGTTGAACTTCTGTTTGGCGTCTCTTCTATTAGGTGGCGCTCGTTTCGTTTCGTCTTCTCTGAATCAGTTGCCGACAACGACGTGAGCGAGAG